GAAGTATGCTGCAGCGCTTTTAGCTTTACTTTAAGGCAAAGAATTTGCTTTAAAAAAATTAACCGATATATTATTTTGAAGAAATGGTTGTATTATTTTGCGTTTCATACTGACAGTTTATTCATATGCACTGAATTTCAAACTGCAAGGAAAAAATAACTTGAAATTTGAATATAATATAATTCTGATATACTTCTGATATATAATTTGTGCACATTTCAAATAAAATAAACGATATTCAAATCTGAGTTACAAAATGATAACTAATCATGTACTTTCCAAATTACCAGATAGTTTTTAAAAAATAATTGTGCCATATGCCAGTTGTAACGAGAGATTAAAATCATTTCAAATCCCGAAAACGGCAAAATATTTTTTAAAATATTTAAAATATTTTTTAAAACTTTTGCAAGCTCCTTTGTTATCCTACATAAAAAGTTAGGCCTTCACTGCAACTTGAAATGATTAATTTACAGCGCAATGTAGAACAAAAAATAAAATTAGATATAAGGAAATTTATTAAATTCCTATAGCGCCTCCTTGAAGAATCTTTCTTAAAATTAGATTTATTTTTTACCACTGCAATGTCCAATAAAATACCGTTATATCACCCTTATATTGCACTTACATATTAATGCGACTAAGCTGATTTTTGTAGTAAATAATCCGAAATATATCAAGAAATCGCGCAAATTTATAGATATGAAATATTTATTCGCTTCGATGGAAGTTTTTAATCATATTTTTTAATTGATAATAATTTTATATTTTTTCGAGTGCAAAAAAATAAATTAATAACAATAAATTTTAGCCAATTATTATTGCTGTATTATGTTTTAATAATTGCTTAAAAAGTGAAATGATAAATGATCATGTTCTGTCAATTTATACAACTTTCCAAATAACCAGATAGTTTTTAAAAAATAACTGTTGAAAAATTACGGAAATAGTCGACAAGAAACGAAAGTTAGGCTGCAAGGAACCCAGAAAAGCAAGAGACAGAACAATTTAAATCCAACTGATTCTGACTGACAAAATATAAATTTGATTGAATTGCTCACTTTTAAATTTTTTTTCAATTAAAACGACAGAAAGAATAATTTTTTTATTCCTTCTAAAGATGATCAATAAAAATTTAAAGAAAATTTATCCAGAATTATTCAAAAATTATTTTTTAAAGTTGTCCTTAATTTAATTAATTTTTATTTAAAATAGTATTAACCTGTAAAATAGTATATTTAATTCGATTTGGCTTAAAAATTTCTTTATTAGTTTTCATCTCACATTGAATTTTTATTTTAATTTATGGAGACTTTTACATGCAATTTGGAAATGACAGCATCCAATAGCTATTAATTTTCAAGCATCTTGCGATATATTTCGATTTCGAATTTCACTTTAAAAAATTCGCGACAAAAAAATCAAATTGGAATATGTAAAAAAGGTCCTTTATTGCTTAGAAAATATCGCATATACTATTAAAATCTAGAAGTAAGTTAAGTAAGGTAACCGAGCAAATATTATTTTATATCGTTGTATTGAAAAGCTAGGAATCCAGCTGTTACTCTCGATAGGAGTAATAAATTTGTTATCAAAAAATCCTGATGGCCTTGAGGATCCAGTTGTCCACTTCTATCGCTAAATAGCTCTCTGGCTTTCCAGTTCCTATACTAACCACTTTTTTACTTATTGTGATTTCATGTGCTTTGCTCATTTTTGAATTCTTTCTTCACGAATTTGAAATTCTTTTCAGCAAAATGTGAAAGTGATGACAGCAAAAGTGTCTATTTAACATGAAACCTACTCGCAATCCATGCTCAGAAGAATTAGAAAAAATGAACAAAATGATAGTAGATCTAAGTAATCTAAAAGCAGTGATCGATGAAATCTTTTTTCGCAAAAAAATAGGTTTTCCAAAAACTTGATAACTCAGTCAATTTAAGAACAACAGCAAACTTATAATATAGTCCAAAATGATAGCGGCACAGTGGCATAAAAAAGTGATAATTTCTTAGGATTTTTTCACGATTTCAGATGGCATTTAATTTCTTTAAACATTATTAAACATTATCCTTAAACATTATTTGATTTTGATTTTAATATCATTTTTTCCTATTCTAATAGCAGATGGCTTATTTTGAAGCTGAGATAAATAAATCTCAGGTCACTTCTGATATGACAAGGTATTTCAATGAATTTCGTTCACAAAGTATGAGTTGCGAAGAAAAATATGAGAAATTAATGAGATTCAAGATGGAAAAATTGATACTCTCAATTAAAGAAGAATATCTTTATGAAGAGATGTCTTTTGAATTTGATCGTACGCTAAGAGTATAATCGAGTGCATTGCAGCAAAGTTTTCTTAGCAAGAAGCCACAGCAAGGCCGATTCGCTTTAAAAGAAGTGAAAAGAAGTGAAGGTAAGTGACCAAACTGAAGTGGTATTGCTTTTGTTTAAAAAGTGCTCGACAATATTTCTGTAATATTGATTCTGTAAAACATTGATAAAATTGGCAATTTGTTTTACATTTTCTTTTTTTGAAAATTTAGTAAGAAATAATGAATGATAAATTTAAATAAAAAGATCTTATCTATTGATTTGAGCCAGTTTCAAAAAAATACACTTGCTTTTAGCGCTTTTTGAATAAAATATCTCGAATAGTAAAGAACTGAATAGATTTTTACAGATACGAAAAATGTTTTTCATGCTTTGGTATTTCTTTACTGCGGTGACAGTTTATCCGATGTTCTCTCAAATTCCAAAGTTGAAATATCATAAGAAATTTGTTGGAGGCTTTATATTATGCATTCACAAAACTTAGGTTCATGGAAACGTGCAGGTGTTTATTGAATTTTGCGTCTAATTTTCTTAATTTAGATTATATTTGACAAATTTGAAATAGTGTTTTTTAAATGCAAAAGTAAGTAAATGTTCACCATCTTTGATCAGGCCAGCTTTCAAATTTGTCAACAATTTCTAATCCAATAAAATAAACGAAACCGGAAAGATAGAAAGGCTAGAAAGATAGAAAGATAGAACCCGATATTTCCATGAACGAACTGTTAATGATACATATAAGATACAGAAAGCTTCTAATGAATATTTCATAATTTTGATAAGAAATATTTTATATATTTTATATTTTATGATATTTTCACGACGGTTACAATACTTGATGGTTTCCATTCGTAATATGGAGTACCAGAGAACAAGAATTATATTGAATAAGTATACTGAATATACTGTATACTATATATTTAAGTATACTGAATGGGCTAAAATTCATTGTATTCAGATATCTATCATATGTTCAATAATTTAAAATAAAAAAGCTAATGAGTAGAGCTAATGACTAAATGAGTGGAGTAGCAAATCACAAAGCGCTAAACAATCTCTACATTTTCGAAACATAAGAAAACTTCTCGAAATAGATGTGGTCTTTTGAACTCTTATTATCTTAAATATTACTCACATGGAGAAAAGAAGGAATGCATGTAATCGAAGCAAGGCATCTAATTCCCAGCAAAAATTAAATTATTACTAGACAACTTCACGAAAAATTTTCTTGATAAACGGATTCATGGGGTAACAGTAGGATTCACCATGTCCAAGCTAGGCTGAAATTAGGCTAAAGGGCGGTTGTATTTGAAATTTTTCATGCTGAGAGGGACGTCTTCAAGTATTAGTAACCTTACGCGCTTTATCGGCTCAGCCGATATTTTCGTTCTGTCGATAGAAGGCGCTTTGGTAAACCATTTCCAGAAAAGATTGTAAGACTTATTAAGGCATTTTTTCGGCACGTGTCAGCGCAGTTGTCTCTCTTTAGGGAAATGGCACCTTTCGATATATGTCAAAGCTGTGTTTTTTCTCCCACTGTTTTCAACTGAACGATTGACTGCGCTATGCGCTATGAATTGCCACTCAAGTATACAAATCAGTTTAGAATATAGTGCCGTACGCTTAGCCGCAAACTGTTTTTAATGTTCTCATTTCTCAACTTTTATAAGAATATTATTATTTCTTAATAAAGTAAAAAGACGTTGTAAATCATTGGCGCTTGGCTGAAAGTTGAAAAAAACGAGTTTTAAAATTTTTTTGGCTCAAATAATTATATTTCATTTTAATTTCATTTTAAATTCGGCAATAGCGCTTGGAGATGAAAAATTTGGAAAATTTTAAAAAAAAATTTTTTTTTAAAAATTTTTTAAATTAAAAAAATTTTTAGGTTTTCATTTTTGATGTTGCACGGATATTAGCCTTAGCTTTACTAGCTCCAAAAATGATAAAAATCTATAGTTATGAAAGGGTCTCTTTAGGATATGACTATAAGTATGTCGCGAAATTTCGAAATTTGAAATTTAATAAGTTTTTCGCCATGAAGCGACAGCCAATCTTTATGCCTAAACTTAGTCGAAGCAACGCACCATTCCATATCCTATACCTTTTACACATTTATTATTTAAAATATTATTATTAAATATTATAAATATTTGATTTTAATTAATTTATTTATTTATTTAATTTTGTTTATTATATGTTAAATTACTATTTAGTATTTACATTTATTTAACCCTTAGTTCAATTCAGATTTTTTTTCTATCATTAACATCGGGTTGATCACTCCTCTGCATTTCCATCAACAAATATACCTTGTGAAAATTCCTGGCAAGAATTTCTAACCAAAAGTATACGTTAAACATTTAGCCATCTCTATCAATGACAAATCCTTAAAAAAACAATTGGTTTAGAGCAAATTAACTATAAAATATAATCATATACGAATCTAAATAGTAATAGTAATAAAAAGTCTATGGCATATGGAATTTTTTTTAGAGGATCGAGGATATTGAAGTGAATAACAATAACGACAATGCTGAAATAAAAAAATCCCTGTACGAGGATGATATAGCTTTAACAATGTGTGTTACTTTTCATTTGAATCTTACAAAGAACCTCCTTTTTTCTTGAATTTGCTTATGATGGCCTGGCTTAATGGGAGAAATATCACTTAGTCATCTTTAACGTTCCGTTAATTTATCAATTTATTATAAAAATATAGCCTATTTTAGTGAGCAGCTGGCCATTATTAATCGCAGCCATAGTTCAGTAAACTTACCGCGGAAAAAACGGAAAGCTAAAATGAAAACATTGCCAATGTCTTATTGGATTGGTCCGATACCATATTTTATACATTCTTCGCTATGTTAGCTTTAATTCTTGCACTTCTTTTCTTGATTTTATATTTTCTTGATTTTGATTCTAATGACTCTATTGGTGCTTGAATAAAGCCTTCTTCAAATTTCGAAGTCCATTTCTTTCACCAATCTTGACTCCATTAGCTTTATTGGCGATTATGTCGTGGCTTCCTCAAGTCTACCTTTCCAACATTGATATCTGAAACTGTTGGAAGCCATTCTTTTTTCTTTGGCATAAGCTTATATATGACTGAGTTCAAAACAGCTTATGATCGGCGAAAGAAATGGATTGCTTCATCACCGGTGACATATTACATATATGATATTATTTATCTTCAAAATAAACCTTATATTATTTGCTTCGATCATTAATCATTATAGCCTTAACGTTTTGAAATGAATTCCACAAAATGAAATCGAAGCGAGTATCACATTCAATATTTTTTTCGCATACACTGGGGTATCTCTTCCTAATCTCTTCTTCCACAGCATTCATTCCTTCCATGTTAAGTCCACGGAGTCCACATAGCACTCGGATTTCAGTGATAGGGCAATATCCAATGAGAGAACTTACTGCGCTCCACCTCAGTCAATATCTCGTCAATACCTACTTTCCTACTCATTTCTAGCTTAAATTTCTAAATAATTTTTAAAAACTCTTAAATGCACTTTTTAGATTCATATGTTTCAATAAATTGATGCATAGTTTATATTTTACATATTGATTTTTTTTTCAACTTAATGATGCTTGAAGTTGTAATTTTTGTTAGATATTTACTTTTCCATTATTTGAGCCACGTTCGACAAGCATTTTATAGAAAATTCTCTAACAAAAACCGATTATAGCTCAAGGAACAAAAGAAACGATCGAAGCTGCAATTAACTATTGGCATATAAACACTTGCATCGATTTTACGCCTAACGCAACTCAATATAAAAATTCACTTGTATTTAAAAAGGTGACAATATAGCTCAAAACATTTCTTCGGTGAAAATTCCAAAAGAAAAATTAAATCGATAATTCTGGAGAAATTATTATCAAAATAGAAAACTTATCACGATTTAATGGATAAAGCAAGAAATTTCTTTATTCCAGTAGTTTAATAATTCATTACCTTTTGCATTCTTGAAATTTTTTATTCCGGAAAAACCTCACCATCTGAGATTCGCACTGAACTTTTATTCATCAGTAAATAGTAAATAAGTAGTTAGCATTCGTTCTTTTTGGCTGCGCACAAGTATGCACATTCTTACTATACGATTACGGAACTTAGCCGATGAGAATGAAAGGCATTAAGAGTCTTTGACTTTCTTGGCTAAGGTGCATTACACTTGCTAAGTGGATAGATCTCATATGAGTCTCATATATTCGTCTTCGCGCGAATACCATCTGCATTAAGAATATCGTCATTCGTCTGCGGTTTGATCATGTTTTTTATCGCTACGCAAATGAACTAACGTACATCTCGCTACTTGCCAGTGCTGAATGTCGTCATATGCAAAAAAAGCCAATCAAGGCCTGGGAAGATACGATCAGAGGAGATTTTAAACGCATAGGCGACAGAAAAAGGAGTGGCTTCAATTGCTGTCAGGATTAACTTTGGATAACTAGCCTTGGAATATTTTCGTCGCCAAATGAGCGATACAAACCAGCATTGAGATTCTAGAAGAATAAGGTCAGCTCACTCCTCTCTTAAAATAGAGAAATAGAAAATTTTAGTCTCTTGATGATAAGTAAGTTTCCAGCATCAATCAGATTTTTTAATAATAGATTTGTGAGGGATATGACTCGAACACTAGCTCGTAACGGATAAATATGCTATTACTCAGCGATCTTTAATACTTCATCGTCATTCTAAAAATTCTAAAAAGTCATCATAAATTAGATGAATACGCCTAGAGCAGATTTTCAAAAAAATTATTATTTTTTATAAAATAATAAATTTTCTAGGGGCGCGGTTGCTATAGTTATATTGGCCGAATTACGAAATGGAGGCAACAACCTATTTCGATAGATGCAAATTGTCTTCAAGTAATACCTTTATTTTCTATCGGTTTAAACTATTATTAATTCCTTTATACAATGATTCTATCCAACATTGATCTAAGCGCTTTTTTTTAAATTCACTGACAATCCGTCAT